TCGTGGGGAGGATTAGATGGAGTGCATCATGCACACCAAGTCTACACAACATGCCCGACACCCTAGAAACGTGATTAGTCTCCAGCGCATCGGTTGCATAATCCCACTGCTGCTCAGATAGCAGCATTTGGCCTATTTTGGGAACTCCCATCACTCCATGACAGTAACAGTGTCTTTGAGTTCCCAAAATAGCGGAGCTGGAAAATGAGATACTGATCTTCACTGGTTTCATGAATTAAGCAGCGAACTGAAGTTGGGAAACTCCGGAAGCCGCAGATTGCCTAACGGCCTTTGGAGGCTGGAGACAGTCAGGCAGATGTAATGCCTCTGAAGCCATGAAAGGCTTCAATGTTCAGTCTTGGTCTCTGCAGTATGCTGCCAGATTTATTTTCTCCATTTTGGTTTTGCTTATTAATACAGAACCTGTTTTGTTTTGGTTTTTTTTTTCTAGTGCAATTTCCATTCAGTTTACTGAGAAAAGTCTCTTTGAGTTTTATGGGAGTGAGACCTTGGTTTGCCATAAGGAGAGTTTCCTTTAGCTTTTACATTCCCAAAAAATCTAGCAGGAGCATTCCCGGCGTGACCTAATCCTTACTTTGCTTGACAGTCTAAGCTTCTGCAGTAATCTGAAATTTTCCTTTCAGAAGTTCTCCCCTTTGCTGACAGAACTTCAACTATTTTGAACAATTTGACAAAATTATTGTAGTCATTAATATTATTAATCTTCCAGTAGTACAGGAAGCAAAATTATGGGGATGTGGTCATTTCAATAAACGTAGCACTTTTAAGTTAAAATATTTTGAAATCTCTTGATGTAAACGCCGTGTCGACGTCCCGTATTATATTTTGTATTTAAGTTTTATGCGTCGTGTTACAGCAGTGTCAGAATGCTTTATCAGAATTGAGGAATTTCTGTGCCATGAGCACGTGGGGGAAGGTCCGACCCCCAGCAGCCAGCAGGAACCACGGAGAAGTTGGTGCCACCACGCTGCTCTGCCATCGCTCCGCGTCCGGCTCCATCACCCTGCGGCTAATCCATAGAATCATAGAATCATAGAATGGTTAGGGCTGGAAGGGACCTTCAAAGGTCATCTAGTCCAACCCCCCTGCAAGGAACAGGGATATCTCCAACTACATCAGGTTGCTCAGGGCCTCGTCCAACCTGGCCTTGAATGTCGCCGGGGATGGAGCATCCACCACCTCTCTGGGCAAATCCAGGATAAACGAATTTGGGCTTTCTTTGAATATATGTTCCAAGGCATTTTGCAAACCTGGAGAGAAATCTACTACATCAATGGTTTATTCCAGGGTAAATTCTGAGAAATATTTTGAGATCTACATCACTGGAAGCAGTTTCGGAATTCAGCCCAGTCCGCGTGTGCGAGGGCGCGCAGCGAGTACCTGGCTTAAGCACGTCGCGTTTCCCCGGGCAGCCTGCGCCTGCCACGGGAAATATTGATACAACGCTGCCTGATACGTGCCAGAAGTAAAGCATTTCCAGATGTGCATCCTTACAGATTTCCGTTCGGTTGCTTCCCAGTTCTTTATCAAAGCACACGCAGGCCACATGACAAAAACGAAGCCGGTTTTGAGCTCGTGGCGGAATTCTTTGCGTTGACTCATGCTGTGTCAGAAGAGAGAGATGGTGGCTGCTTTACGAGCCCCACGCGATTCCTTAAGAGATCCTTTTGTTGAGCAGCCTGGCAAAAGAATAATGTTTTTAAGCCATTGTTAGTTCTGTTCTTTCCATTCCTATCTCAGCTGACGCAGCAGAAGGAAGTGCCAAACTTTCGCAATGGAGTCACTGAAGTTTTCAAGATGATGGAGCACGGGGATGAGATAAGTCTCTCCTCTCTAATTAGGCTTTTCCCCCGTGCTTCCCCTCCTGAAATAAGTGGCTTATTGCAGATTATTTCAAGCGTACGAGAGTACAGAGTGGAAAAGAAAGATTGCTGCATCGATATTTCAGTGATGTTTGTTCTCTTTCAGTCTAGAGTGGGCTCATTGCAGCCACTAAAAGATTTTTTCACAGGATGGAGAAGCTCCTGGGCTTTCTGCTCAGCGTGATCCACGTGCCCTTGTAACGTCTTGCACAGACCCACTGAGAGCCCTACCATTGTTATTCTGCCCATCTTGTGTCCTCCCAGATGCCACAGTGGGAGGAGGATCAGGGAACATCGGGATGCGTTGCTGGCCATGCTCTGCTTTGCTGTCCCTGCTCATAGGGACATCTGCTCCTCTGTTGGAGTCCGCAGCAGGCAGGGGACCCGGGGGGCTGGTGGGGTCTGTCCCTCCTGAGGACTCGGCTCTCCTGCCTGGGGAGGATCTGCTGGGGATCCCACACCACGGACGGAGAATCTGAAGGGAGGCAGGGAGCCTCGGACTGTCAGATCCACTACCCACGGAGCGACAGGAGAAACATGGAGAGAAGCTGCACAGCTCTCCTCTCGTAGGTACAGAATGTACAGAATTCCTCTTTAGAGGAAAATGAGAACTTTAGCAATGTTGCAGAGTGAAATAATCAAGTTTCACTCGTCATCCCCAGCATAAGCCAGTTTGAGTGTGCTGTGGCAAGGCAGCCCAGCAGCTGATGGCGCAGAGGTACGTGTGTCCAAGACCTTCAGCACGTGGT